TCAGCCTGCCAATGGCCTCAGACGTGCGCTTAGCCTTCCTCCCCGAGGACACGCACTCGTCCTTTGTGGGGGCAAGCTTTGATTTCAAAGCAGCGCATAAGCAGATCCAGGTGCACCCCAGTGAACATGGCCTGCTTTTGTTTCGGGTTGCCAATGTCCTGTACCATTATAGAGTGTGCCACTTCGGAGCACGCTTCTCTGCATACTGGTGGCAGCGCACCGGAGCATTCCTCCTGAGACTACTGCACGGCATTTTGGGACTGCACCCGCATCGCGCATGGTTGTTCGTAGATGACCTTTTAGCCGCACTGCATCGCAATGACGCAGACTCGCAGCTGGCCCTCATGGTCATGTTTTTTGCAGCCATATCGGCCCCGATCTCCTGGAAGAAAGTTCAATTTCAGGACAACCTCACGTGGTGTGGGTGGCGCATTAATTTCCTGCACGAGACCATCGAACTCACGCCGGAAAAAACCATCAAATTGAAAGGACAGTTGCACGAGCTGCTCAAAGCAGGAAAGGTCAAGCGCAAACTCCTAGAGCAGGTTCTAGGACTTCTCATTTGGGCTACCAGCCTGAGCCCCGAACTCAGATCCTGGCTAGCGCCATTGTACACAGACCTGCACTCGCCGCCGGGTTGCATGCTCTCTGTCCATGCGCGTTTATGGCCATCTTTCCTGTCAGCATTAGACGCCAAAGCCGTGCTCAGATCAGCAGTGCATGGCATTTTTATGCCGCTAGGCTCCAAAGTTCTAGAGTTCCAAGGGGCATGCATTCGCACGCCAGCCGACCTGCCTCGCGTTGTGCCTAGCCACAAGTCCGCTTGGGTGCGCATAGCGGACGCCTCCGCAGAGCACACTCGCCTGTCCAAGATGAGCAAACACAGCGTAGAATGGCTGCTGCAATGCTTCCATCTCGACCTCGCATGCCCGCTGAGAAGCAAACCAATGCTGGCTTGCAAAGCCGCCGCGGATGCATGCGCCGAGGGCAGTATAGTAGGCATAGGAGGTTGGTTCATCTCCCGCAACTCCGTTGCGTGGTTCGCAGAGACATGGCAATTCCAAGAAGTCCAGGAACAATGGCCATGCCTGACCAAAGAAGCCCAGCGCTACATCGCATGCTTCGAAACCTTGGCCCAACTAGCACTCATGCGGATCGCGTGGTCCTGCGAGGGACAAGGCGTGCATGGCATTTGCATGCCCACAGGAACAGATAACACAGCTTCCGAAGCCGGTGTTAATAAGCTGTTCACCACTTCTTGGCCCTTGCAAGTCTTTGTGCAACTTGTTGCTGCCTGGGCCCATAAGCACAAATGGTCCGTGATCGCGTCACACATCCCAGGGGAGCACAACATCTGGGCAGTCCGCTTTCCAGGCTCGACCAGAAGCCAGAGTGCGCTTCAGGCCGCATGATTTCTGGCCTCACGCATCAGCTCTCACACTTCACCCTGCGGACGCACCGTGGAGACCCGAGCACGTGGCTGCTGCGCAAACGCACTAAAGAGGGGGTAAGGTGATTTGACCGTTTGCTTAGAACTCTAAAGTGGGGGTATTCCGACAGGCTCCGCATGAGATGCAGGAACATGGAGTGGACGCGCATCGTCGCTCCACCTGCATCTCTGAGCCTGCACTTCTAAGCAACGCTCAAGTAAAAAAGCGCGTATCGAGTTTGCTCCGGTCGGTTGCTTTTTTCCCCGCATGTCCCTTTAGGCTTGAAGCAGTGACCAAGATTCTAACGCTAGGGGTTTGTCTTTTCCCCTGTGTTTTAATCTTGGTTGAATCTTCGGCCGCGTGCCATTTCTGCTTCAAGCCTTTTGGTAAGGGACATGCCTGGAGGGTTTGACCCCTCTTTCGTTCTTTTTTGAACCCACCCTCCCACCCTTTCACGGCCCAGGTGGCATGCAGCCTCCACAAGGCCTGATAGAGGGACGCATGCAGCCGCATGAACGGAAGCTGGTCAGCTCCCAACATTTCGTCGGCTTACTGCATCTCGATACTCCCGCAGGACCATTTCGAGCATACGCAGCGAGGCCCACGCAGTGCACGCAAGCGCACATTGACGAATGCCATCGGCATTCTGCCAGCCCGGACTGGCCCCCCTGCAGGAGGACGCATCCTCCCATGCACACTTATGCACGCATTGCATACATGTGCAGCATACCTCTTTTTTCGTCTCACACCCCACGGGTAAAACACCCTGTGTGCTGGTCGAACACGCACTGTTGACCTCAGGGGGTATTCCGACAGGCTCCGCATGAGATGCAGGAACATGGAGGGACGCGCATCGTCACTCCACCTGCATCTCTGAGCCTGCACTTCTAAGCAACGCTCAAGTAAAAAAGCGCGTATCGAGTTTGCTCCGGTCGGTTGCTTTTTTCCCCGCATGTCCCTTTAGGCTTGAAGCAGTGACCAAGATTCTAACTCCTAGCAATGACTCCTTGCAATGACTCCTTGCAATGACTCCTAGCAATGACTCATTGCAATGACTCCTAGCAATGACTCCTAGCAATGACTCCTTGCAATGACTCCTTGCAATGACTCCTTGCAATTTCATGATGATGATTCCTTGCAATGACACCTTGTAATGACTCTCATGAGAACAACTCAAGTGAACCCAGCGGAAGAACCCTTCGCCATGCTTTTGGGAAAAACCACTCTATTTTTGCAGAATCCGCAAATGCTCAGTGATAAGCTCCAGTGATATGCTATAAGAGGTTTTCGGATTTTAAAAGAGGAGAGAGAGACTCAGGCCGAAATACACACGGGGGAGATCGTTGCCGTGTTTTGTTCGAGGACCTTGTTCTTGACAACAAGGGCTGCTGCTGAAACCATCATCAAAATGTTGTTGGACCCACTTGCACAGATTGCAAGGAGATGACAGCTATTACCTGTACCGAGATACTGGCGCTGTTGGGTGGTGCCACCCGCATTGGCAAGGAGTCAGAATGGGCCATGCTACCCATGCTACCCATGCTACCCTGGGGACGGGGGTCACAGAGCAAAAAAGCAGTGTCCAGCCGTATTTGCCTAGACAGGGGGTTTCTGGGCCACAGAGAAAAACAGGGTAGCACGGCTAGTTGGGCAGACAGCGGGGTTTCTGGGGCACAGAGAAAAAAACAGGGTAGCACAGTTTCTGGGCCACAGAGCAAAAAACAGGGCTTGACATCGAGGCTGGGCCCGCCAAGACCCCGCCTTCTGAACCCACGCCGCATGTTTTCTCGCTCACGTTCGCTCTTTCTTTATCCCACTTGTGCGCAGGTGCATTTCACAAGTGTCCGTATGACGGAAGATCCTTCTAGACTTCCTATGTTAGTTTTACATTTTTGGCAATTATGTTTGTTATTTCTACGCACTCGAGGTTATCTACCAGTCTATTTGACCCACCTACTTTCATATTTTGCTACTTAGCTATCTATTTGTTTGTCTACGTAGTTATTTAGCAACTTTCCTGGTCATCTATCAATATCTGTGTCCATCTACCTATCCATCCATCCATCCATCCATCCATCCATCCATCCATCCATCCATCCATCCATCCATCCATCCATCCATCCATCCATCCATCCATCCATCCATCCATCCATCCATCCATCCATCCATCCATCCATCCATCCATCCATCCATCCATCCATCCATCCATCCATCCATCCATCCATCCATCCATCCATCCATCCATCCATCCATCCATCCATCCATCCATCCATCCATCCATCCATCCATCCATCCATCCATCCATCCATCCATCCATCCATCCATCCATTCCATCCATCCATCCATCCATCCATCCATCCATCCATCCATCCATCCATCCATCCATCCATCCATCCATCCATCCATCCATCCATCCATCCATCCATCCATCCATCCATCCATCCATCCATCCATCCATCCATCCATCCATCCATCCATCCATCCATCCATCCATCCATCCATCCATCCATCCATCCATCCATCCATCCATCCATCCATCCATCCATCCATCCCATCCATCCATCCATCCATCCATCCATCCATCCATCCATCCATCCATCCATCCATCCATCCATCCATCCATCCATCCATCCATCCATCCATCCATCCATCCATCCATCCATCCATCCATCCATCCATCCATCCATCCATCCATCCATCCATCCATCCATCCATCCATCCATCCATCCATCCATCCATCCATCCATCCATCCATCCATCCATCCATCCATCCATCCATCCATCCATCCATCAATCAAGCAGTCAACCTATTTTTCTCCATCAATCCATGTATCTAGCTAGCTTGCGAAAATGCGGCGCTTTCCACGGAATCTGCGCATGACCCTGTGAAAGTGCTGTGCGTGCCAGACATTGCGAAAGTGCTGCGCATGCCACGGTATCTGCACATGACTTTGCAAAAGTGCTGTGCCTGCCACCGCATCTGCGCATGACTTTGCGAAAGTGTTGCGTGTGCCGCGAAATCTGCGCAGAATTGCGCCAAAATGCTGCGCTGCCATGAGCCGTGCCCTTGACCTTGCTGAAGTGCTGCGCCTGTTGCGAACTCTGTAACCTGAGCTTGCAAAAGTGCTGAGCTTGCAACGAAACATGCACCCAACCTTGAAAAGGGGCGGTGCCAGCCACGCAAAATGATGTTGCAAAACGTGCACGCGTCCGTGCCCCGGCTCTGAACGTGCTCCGACCACGTTCCGAGAGCGTTCCAACCTCGCTCCAAACGCGGTCCAACCAGGGTCGCGATCAGACACACATTTTTTTTTTTTTAATTATGCATGCTTCTTCTTCTTTTGTCTTCTGTCAGAGAGCTAGCTTTCAACTAGTTGCCATACAACGGATATGCTTTCCAAACTTCTTTTGATTGTGAGTGCTTGCAATCTGCCACCACAATCGGTTCCACGTATTCTAGCCACAGTCCTTGGCAAGTGTTGCAAGCAATCTTGCAAATCTCAAGGCATGAACTTCAATCAAGACCAATATGCATTTTGTGCGGGACAACCAGGCCGTCGTTGCTGAATGAGGCTCAATCTTAGGACAGGGCAAGCTCCATGTCCAGTTCCGAGAGCGATATTTGGAAGGCGCAAATCGGCATGGCTAGTCATTTTTCATGCACGGTCGGTGCCGACAGAACGCGTCCATTTACTAGTACGTGCTGAGGCGCGTTCGCCTTAGCTTACGTGCAAACTGAACACGCCTTGCCAATATGGCCATGCTGGACTCATTGCAGTGGTTCGGTGCCGGTGCTTTTCCATTGACGGCAACTTCTGTTGGGTTGGGCATTTTTTTTATCGTCGGTGTGAAGGTTGACACCTGATTGGCACTTGATCAAGTCTCTGCATGTGAGGTGATTCGTTGTGACTCGTGCCAAGGGCATGATCCACGCCATTGGCTTAGTGTGCGAGGGCCACAGAATGTCCTGCGCTCTCAGCGAGGCCATTCCTGGGAAACTCTGCCTGGTGAATGTGCTCCTTCATTGGCGACTCTTGGAGGCTGTTCCAACGTGTAGTTTACAATCACTGACCAAGAGGAAGAGAAAGCAGGCGTCTCGTGCCAGGCACGACCTGACCATCGTGCTCCTGAGGCGCTTTCGCTCAAAATCTGCAAGTTGTCACCCCAAGTTCCATGTGTGTGTGTGTGTGTGTGTGTGTGTGTGTGTTTGTCACCCATGCCCAGAAGTCAATGCAGCATCAAGGCAGTTGCACCGTGCCTCCTGCAGCATGGTCAGCTGCCGCCTCATGCAAATGAACACAACAAGTGAGCTGGACAATGGCTCCAAGACTTGAGGCTGCTGCGAGAGTCAGGCAAAGACGCGATAGACGTGCCAGGCCGCTTGTATGCATTGCAAGATGCTCAAAGATCGGGTCAGTTCGGTTGTGCTGAGGCTTGGTGCCAAGAAAAAAGGCGCGGTTGTGCGTGCCTTGTTCAAGCGAAGACTCTTCAATCAGGCGCCAGTGACCTCATCGCTGGTGCAAATTCAGAGTTCCGATGCAAGTTCGATGGGATCAAAGTCATTTCCTCAGCTTTGGTTGCACAGCGGACAGCAACTCGCTTGGAAGCACTGCTGTCGTCTCAGGACAGACACCAGAGTTGACCCTTCTTTTTTTGACTCCTTTTCTGACGTGGAGCCGGCTGACTTGCTTTCGGGGCGGCGGAACTCATTGCCAGCGTTCCTCTACGCCTGGGACTGCAGGCCGAGTCTACGTTTGATGCTGATGGCCAAAGCGAAGACGCTCAGGACGGCGAGCCAAGAGCTCGTACCACGGGAGCTTGATTCATTGCAAATTGCTGGATGCACCTGCAGGCAAAGAAACCATCAGTAGAGGTTGCTGACCCTCTTCCCACCATCGAGCCTCCACAGTGGTGCGCGGACATCCTTGAGGCTCACATGTCAATCTCTGGGCTGTCAGGTTTGTGGAGTCAGAGTCAGCAGGACCCAAGCAGGCCCAAGCTGTATCAATCTATCAAGATCGCTTCGCGCCGTTGTCGTGAGGCATGGCAAACCTACGATGCTCTGACAGAGGCCGGACGCTCAGCGCTGACCATCTGCCAAATGAGATGAGGTAGCTACAGTACGACTTTGTCAACAGCAACCATGACATGAGCTGACTGCAGGATGCAAGCTGGCGCGCCGCTGCACCAGAGTGGGAGGAGAAAGAATACGGCAGGCGCCTAGCTTTTGTCTGTTCTGCGTGGTTCCCTTAGGGACTTGACAGCGCTTTGGCCTCCATCAAAAGCAGATACACATTTGCTTCGGAGAAAGATTTTGCTCAACTACAGCGCGGCAGTGCTGCAGAACCAATATTTGGTCATGCCAGACTCAATTGAGGCCAGAATGGACAAGTCAAGTATTGTGTATTTCTCTGCGGAAAGGCTGTTCGTACTGGCAACAACGTGAACGTTCTGTGAAGCACATACCGTCACATACCACCTTGGCAGGATCTCCAGTGAATGTTTCGTTCATAAGCTCTTTAAGAATCTATAACCTCAGAGTGGCAGTGGTGCCAGAGACAGGCATCATACTCTGTGCACTGCATGGGCACAGCTTTTGGAGAGGTGGAGAGGACAAGTGTTCAACTGGATTGAGAGTAACCCAGTTTGCAGTTTTCCTGGTTTGACGGCTTAGAAAGTCCAATGGAGCTTGCTCAGCGCTTGCTCAGCGAGGGCAAGGCGGATGCTGCCATTGAGCAGCTTCGGCTTCTGGACTTAGACCTGGATGGGCACTTGCTGATGGCTGAAGCGCTGTGGACCCAGGCTGGCCCTTGTGGCACGCGTGATGCCCTGCAGCATTATGAGGCAGCAGCTGGCCTAGCGCAGGCAGCCAACGACGTGTCCAAGGAGGCAGCAGTGGCTCTGGGGCACAGCTGGGCCTTGCTTCAGCTGAAAGACCCCGAGGCACCGAACAGCCTTAAGCGTGCCCGTGCATTGGCCGAGAAGGATGGCAATGCTGCCGCGATCCAGTTTGTGGACAGCTTTCTGGAAAACTCCAACGTGGCCGGTGAGGACACAGCAAAGGTCACGTGGACAGCCTTCGTACAGGCATATGTGACCCAGAGGCCGGTGCTGTTTCTTCGAGGCAGCATCAACGAGCCCGAAGATGAGTTGTCAGTGCGGGGGGTGGCCAAATTAAAAGAAGCCGGGGTGAAAGCAATGAAAGCAGTGAACGTGAATGAGTCAGGTCCTGACCTTCCGGGTGGCCTGCAAACGCTCGCAACGTTGGGTGTGGAGCTTCCGCAGCTTTACTTGGATGGCAAGCTGGTGGAGAACTGGCTGGAGATGGAGGTTCCACACCTCCGGGACTTGCTGGTGAGTTCGGGCGCGACCATGGATGCAGGCGAGCCCTGTCATGGAGTATTCTCTGAGGGACTGGAGGGCTGGCAGGTCAAGCTGGTGGACATGGTTTCGAAGACCGGCGCGGAAGACTGGGAAGCCAAAGCCTCTGAACTGCAGGGATCCGAGGCACCCAAGACCGGAGAGGCCTTGAGGGAAGCGTGGTTACAGCTGGCCCCGATTGTCAAAGACAAGCTGGAGACGCAGCCCGAAATGCCGTGTGGGCATTCTTGTAATACCTGTCCTTCCAAGCATGACTGCCACTTGCATGAGGCAGTGGGTCATGTCAGAGACATCGAGGATTTAATCTGAGGCATGCGCTGAAAAGGTGCTTGTTGGTGAGCCTGGCATCTGCAGTTTTACTGGGCAGAGCAACACATCGGACATATTGAAACATGGGCTGATGTCAGGGTTGAGCAAAGTTGGAATCCGCTGGATTCCAAAGAGTGGGGAGCCCAGGATTTCCAAAAGTGTTTGCTTGCGCACTTGTGCTGCCCAGGAATGGCAACACAGTCCTGACCTTGGAGTCTCCAGCCAAAGAACCAGACAGCTCTTTGCAGGCGCATTCTCTGCCGGGGAAGGATCCTGCCTGGTTCAATGTGGAAGCTGATCAGTATGACTGGTTTGGACGCCCGAGGCAGGTGCATATCTTCGCCGATCTGTGAAAAATCGGATGTCGCTCAGGGCGCCAACACCGGCATCTGCCAGCTTCTACTTGGAGTGGAGTCAAGTGAGCAGGACTGGCGCGCGGTTCACTCCTAACGTGAGCCAAATGTTGGTGTTGTCTGCAGGACTGCAGATTTGAGCTGTGGCCCTCCAGGCTGCGTGGCGAACACCAGCCTGGAGGCTCCAACCTTTGTGCAAGAAGCGGCAGACATCGGCAGAGATCTGTGTGCAGAAAGACAGACATGGAGACAGACGGACATGCAGGACCTGCGGCTCAAAGTAGCAAGGACTCTTTTAGTGCTTTGTTTGACCACCGCCAGACAGAGATGCATGCACACAGACAGACTTCATGCATGCATGCAGGCAGGCAGGCGGACAGACAAACAATCAAGCAGACAGACTGTCAGACCGACAAGACAGAAAGACAGACAGAGCCAGACAGAGACAAAGACAGAGACAGAGGCAGAGACACAGACAGAGACAGAGACAGAGACAGAAAGACAGAGACAGACAGAGACAGACAGAGACAGACAGAGACAGACAGAGACAGACAGAGACAGACAGAGACAGACAGAGACAGACAGAGACAGCCAGAGACAGACAGCCAGAAAGACAGCGAGACAGACAGACAGACAGACAGAGAGACAGACAGACAGACAGACAGGCAGGCAGGAAGAGGCAGGCAGGCAGGCAGGCAGACAGACAGACAGACAGACAGACAGAGACAGACACATATATATATATATATATATTCATATGGTTGTTTTTGTATATATATATATATATATACACACGCACTCACATCAACGTTTTCACACATACATGCGGACGTATGCAAATATACACATGTACAGCTTCTTGGTGGGTGCTTGAAGTTGCTTTCAGGCGTTTCAACATGCTTCTGATATGGAGTACAAAATGCCAAGAGCCGAGAACCAGATTTGGCATCACATTCTCAATCTACATGTTCGTATTCCAAGGTGCACTTTGTCTTTGTTTGTGCATGCAACCGACTTTGATGACGCGCTGGACTCTCAGTTCACCGATGTTCTATTTTGTATTGAATTGGTTTGGAGGACTTTTGAGACTGAGGTACAACGTTGAAAAGATTGAGTGGATTGTAATCAATGGCAAGGAGGCAATCTAGTTTGAGTTGGTGCCCTCAGGCTGCATTGCTTTCAGTCTGCATGACCAGGCATTGCGGGACTTTAGCCCGAGAGCACCAAAAGGTGGGCACGCGTGCCTGTTTTCTGTGCTATGACGCTTTCCTACCAGGTTGCGAGATCAATGACAATCTCACTGGCAGCTTGGACTCAGACTTGGTCGCCAACGAGAGCATCGCCTTGCTGAACGCAGCTGTCCCAGCTTGTCGAGTCTTGCGAGGGAGAATTGCGCTCCCAGCCCAGGTGAAGGGAAGCCGAAGACCAAACCTTAGCCGACGCTTTCGCAGCGCGTGATATTTGAGAAAACCTGTGAGGCGACCATCGCCGGATCCGCAACAGCTCGGAGCTGCCCTTGTTCCCGTGCCTCGGACAATTTGAAAAGTGCAACATGGCTCCCGCTGGTTTCCGATGTTTCAGGTGCATCCGCGACATGCCGCTGGAGGTGCTCACAGCCTGGCATCAACGAGTTTCTGTTGCCGAATGTTTCTGTGGTCATTTCCAGTTCAAGACACACAATCCTCAGATCTGTGGCTTCCTTTTTAAGGGCTGACTTGCACAGTGTGCACAGAACCAGCAAATTGCTTCTCAAGATTGTCCGAGAGGCGAGCACGGATTAGCACGTACGTTATGCCAGGGTCTGGTCGGAGCAGACGGTAAACTGCACGTTTCTGGCAGGATCCTCAGACACTTCAGTTTACGGCACTGTGTCTGGATTCAGAGGCAAAATCTCTCCGGCAGTTGATGAGTGCCCCGTGAACGGCAATCACTTCAGGCCAGGGGCTAAATTGCACTGGCATACACCTATTTTTCCAATTGGTTTGACTAATGGGCGAATGAGAACCTGCTGTCTTTTCAATTCGTCAGTGGCGTCGTGACGGTGACCTGCTTCGCTCGTGCGACGACGACGCTGCCCCCAACAACGACAACCACCACGGTCCCGGGCTGGGAGTACATAGCCAGTGGCAATCAAGCGCAGCTGAGGAACCAGTGAAGGTAGCTGTCCAGCGCGAGTTCAAGACGCGTGACTCAGCACGTGTTGCATGCAAGGCCCAATAATACGAAGCTTGGACTTGGCAGCTCTCAGCCAATGCAATCAGGCACCTGGCTGCAGTGCAACAGCAACCTTGTCAGTGGACAGCTTCAACCTGACCTCCCGAAAATGCGGCTTGACACTGAGGCTGACGCTCCCGATTTTGTTTTGCCTCCTACTTTCGCATTCATTGTCGTTGCCTGATTCTTATTGTTTTGTGGCCCTTGGCAGGATCAACCAGACAGATTTTGATGAGCAGGATGGATCAGCAGAACATTTGGAGTGGATCAAGGCAGCATGTGGCTTTTGAGGATTTGCGGGTTGGTGCTGACTTGCAGGTGAACAGCAAAACAGTTGCTACAAATGTGAAGCCTGGGAAGAATCCTTGCAAAGAGGCGAGGGCTTGAAGGTGATGGACAGTGAAGAACGGAAACCGCATTTCTGAATGCTTGTCTATCTGCAAGTGCCTCAGGCAGTGGATGCAGGCAGCAATCGCACGAGCGAGGTGTTCGTTGCGTTGAACGAAGAGGAGCTTTGGTGGAGTATCATCAACAGCGACTCTTGAGTGCGGATTGCTTTTGCACATGTCAATGTACTGAAATCAGGACGTCACAGATGCAATAAAAGAAGGTGTCCTCTCAGTGGAAGTTAAAATCACGGATATGGCGGATGCCTCAGCTTCGAGTTGCTTCGAGTTGCATGATCGTTTAGAAGGTGGACGAGTGCGCGGTGGAGAATTACCTGCTTGATGGTCAAGCAGAGGTTGCGTGTACTTGACGCGCAAGCGGTCGTGAAAACAAACTTGTGGCATCTGGACTGGGGTCAGCCCACCCAAGCAGATTTGGAGTCCCCCCCGCCCACCCAAGCAGATTTGGAGTCCACCCTCTCCCCCCCCAAGCAGATTTGGAGTTTGTGGAGATGCATGCTGCAATTTCCAAGCTCAAGATGAACAATTAATTTGGCACGCCGCGTGGCCATTTCGTGCTGCAGCTGCTGAGGAGCCAAAGGCCAACGAAAATTGATCCATGGGAATCAGACATGAGCTTGTCATAGGTGTATTGGAGGTGAGTCAGGTAAGACCATTGGCATTTCAATCAAGGACGCTGGCCAGCGATATGCAATTCTTGGCTGGACTGTTGGATTTGTTTGGCAGACTTTGGCAAGAAACTCAAACTGACTGAACTGGCTTGTTTTGCTGCAGGCTCACCTGGAGCAGCCGCCTACTTTAGGCCGGATTGTCACCTTATCGGTTGGCTCTTTTTTAATGTATTCGAGCCTCCTTTGGATGTCCAGTTCCTCCCCTTAGCTGCTCTTCTTGCCATTTTTGAAGGTCATGTCGCTGTTCTGCTGTGATGGTGGCGGGCCTTGTGCGCAAAGTTCGCGGATGAGGCGGCACAGTTCTTGGACTTGCAAACGGCGACCCGCTTTTGATGTTGCCCGCAGGGTGGAGGCAAGTGGACCAGCGCCTATAGTGCTGCCGACTTGCCTTGGAGTAATGTCTGATTTGAGAAGACATGGAAGGCAAGGCAGTCAAGAAGCTCATCGACATGCCTCTGCAAGGTACCAGATTCTCAGGGCAGTAGAGTTCAGACGTGCAGTTCCCAGTTGGTGCATACAGGAAGATAAGTTGGCATTGGCTCTGCAGGGCACAAGCAGAGCTTCGCTCAGGCCCTTGCCCATGTTGCAAGACTGGGACAAGCTTGGAGCGAGGGAGAAAGAGGCAGTGTGGCGTGTGATTCCATGTGGCCATGACATCTCAGTCTTGGTCATTGGTCAGGTTGTGCAAGAGAAGCTGGAGAGCATAGTGAACGCATTTGCTCGCGAGCTCACCCGGGGCAAGGCGCAATGCAAGTCACCCGGACAAATCCGGATCAACAATCCTCAAGATGCGTTGCGAGAGGTGTTCATGAAATTGGGCCGAAATGGACGTCTTTTCTATCGGCTTTGCGGGATGCTTGGATTCGAGAACATCTTGGCGATCTTGTGCTTGTGTGCATGCAGCCACCAAAGTGTCGAGGCACCTTGGACAAACAGCTCACAGCGTTTTCCATGCACATCAAGGGAGCTATCGTAGAGTTCCCCAGTTGAATTGGAGACTGGAGTCCACAGTGCGCAACTCCGAGCTTTCTTCTCCAGGTATCCGTTTAGCCACATGCAGCACATTAGCTGCAACCTTGGCATTTGATTTGACGGTCTGTGCAGCTGCATACACATCCCTCAGTGAGAGCTCAACATGATTTGTTTTATGAACCGAGGCTTCGGTTATGACCTCACAGACTTTACGCATGTGCCGGCGGGGTTCCTGAAGCTTGCAAACAGACTAGACTGCCCCCGGAGAAGTGGAAGATTGTACTGACTGATGAGGTGTCCTTGCCATCCGATGCCTTAGCAGCGGTCATAGTGATGGACAACCGGCTCACAACTCAGACCTGCTTTCTGATGAGTGCCGCTTGTCATGGCTTTGACACTTGCCTCACGCATCGCCTGCTTCGAACCAGGCGAATGAACCTAGTATTTTCTTCGCCAATGGAACGCGACGAGTTTGTGACGTGCATGCTGGTACCCTTGGCTGTTTGGGCAGTCCCCGTTTCGTTGCACTCGCATGTGCCTGGAATTGCAATGCAGCATCGCTTGGTTTTCAGAGGTTGCAACTTTTCTGGTTATATAGTGATGCCAGGTTCTCAAGGAGCGGCACAGACGCAGCAACTCCTGATGGGCTCTGATTGCTCGCCGGCGCGAGCAAGCGCCTGTAAATAGCTGGGGCTCCCGCAAGCTCTGCCTTGGCTCTAGAGCCTTGCAGACTGGGCTAAGCGGAGCTCCGCAGGAATGAACTGAATGCAGCTTGCTAGGATTGCAGTGTTTCACACCCATACAAAAAGTGAACTCCACGCCTATGCAGACATGGGAGTTTGGATGCTCAGCAAGGCACGTCGATTGTCCCCTGACCATGCCCTTGAAGCGTGAGATCCAGGAAAGGTAGGCAACATGAGGAACGAAGCAAGTAGCAAGAGTTTGTGTGAGACAGCTCTCTTAACAGAACTGCATGCATGTGGGCCGGCGATGCAGACTGTTTGCGAAGCAATGCGGAGCAAGGCTGAGCGAAAGAAACCCGTGAGCAAGGCCGGGCCGAGCGAATGCCTCAGGTTCTCCACGCTGGAAGAAGGCCTTGGCCCCGCTTGGCACCGCTTAATCCGTTTGCCACGAGCGACCTCTTGCAAGGCCAGCGCAGAGCGAAGACCCTCCAGGCGGGGGCGGGAAGCTTTCGAGACGACTTCTGGTCAAAGATGCTTGCAAGAGCTTGAGTGTCAGTTGTGAACTGACATGACTAGAAGGTCCCAGAAAAAAGTCTGGGCCATCTTTGCAGGCAATGGATTACATTGGCCTGAGGCAGTGGAGCGCAGAGCAGCGAAGATCCACTACCGAGAGGAGCTGAAGAAGGTTCCGTGGGACACTGTTGCAACGTTGGCTTTTTACGAACCCTGGACAAGGTATCGTCAAAGGGGCGAAGTTGCAAGAATAATTGATGTGGTCATTTTGCCAACAGAACATGACGAGCACTATGTAGGGGGTTTGTTGGTGGTGTGTCCAGGATACACGCAATGGGCAAAAGCAAAGGAATAGCCTTAATTCACTGAAACGTCACTTTAGTGATTGCAGATCAGGCAGTTCAAGGTGCTTGAATCAGTCACAGTCACTTGCTAGTTTCTGAGCAAGGGAGAGCGCTGTGGGTAAGAGACGCTGCAAGAACTGTCAGCAAAGGGATTGGCATAGCGTCGCTGGTTGACCGGCGCGCCAGTGTAAACCTGGCCAATAACGTCAAGTATTTGGATTGGCATAGCTGTGATGTCCAACATTGGCAACGCGCAGCCTCGCTCCTGTGAGGCGAGGCATGTTGGCCTTTGTTGAATTTAAAAGGTCTGGCTGGGTGCCTGTGCCCAAGCAGCGGACGTGTTGAACAGACATTTTTTGGCTCAAAGTTTCGAGTTCGGGTGCGGTAGGATTTTGAAGGCCGCTTGCCGTGATCGGCACCCGCAGAGATGGCCTCGCAGCTTCCGGCCTGGATGTTGTTTTCGACGAGATCTCTATGTCCAACAGCAACCGTCAAAGTGGAGAAAGACTCTGTCCAGAGCCATCCAGACACTGTTGGCAAAGATTCAGAGATCATCAGCGGCCTTCCGCCTGTAGCAGCTGCGGCATTGGCAACGCAGGAGCATCCAGCCACTGTTGGCAAGGATTCAGAGATCTACTGCGGCCTTCCGCCTGTAGCAGCTGCGGCATTGGCAACGCAGGAGCATCCAGCCACTGTTGGCAAGGATTCAGAGATCTACAGGGGCCTTCCGCCTGTAGCAGCTGCGGCATTGGCAACACAGGAACAGTTTCCTGGTGACGACGCAGAGCCAAAGCGGAGCTCCAGTGCTTCATTGGCGCAACTCCTCAGCCGCAAGGACACCAGACAGAGCAGCGGACTTCAGAGTCACTCACCACGCGCGACTCCAGTCATAAGTCCAGAAACTGCGGACTCCGTGCAAGAAGGGCACAAGGCAGCTGAGGACATGCATGGTGCAGAAGGTGAAAACAAGGATGAAGCAGTCGTGACAGACTTTGCCGAAGAGTCCTTTCCTTCCCACGCACCTGATGGGTGTGCCCGAACTGTGCCTGCAGACTCGAGGCCGGCCTTTGACGCTACTGGTGTGGGTCACCCGGAGGATCCCCCAAGTCATGCTGGGGATGTGGTCAAAGAGACGAAAGAGACGGAGGCTTTGGCAACTGACTCACACATGCACGAGGAGCATGAGCCAAAGATCGCACCCCTGGAGCACGCGGGGCTGGAAGATGAGGAAGGTAAGCTGCGGGAGATGGAGCGGCAAGCCCGGGAGACGGCCGCCCAGGCAAAGAAGGAGCGTGAGCGCCGGGAGAGGGTTAGGGCGTTTTTGGCAGCAGAAGGTTACCGGCACGTGCGTGCAGCACGCAAGAAGTGGAGCCCAATTGCTACCTATCCCCTGCATCGAGCTGTGCAGTGCAACGACCCCGAAGTAGTGAGGCTGCTTCTATGGATGGGCGCAAACCCTGCGTCATCCAATGCTTTCGGACAGACCCCAGCGCGTCTGGCAAAGTGGTTGAACAGACGGGATTCGCATGCAGAGATCATCGAAGCTTTGAAAGCACATTCAGGTGATAGCAGTTGATCAGCAAGTGTCATTTTGACTGCCAAGCTCACCCTTGGTGAACACGAGCGCTTGGAAGTGTGCCATGCGCAATGTAAAGAGAGAAGAGTTTCAACTTGTCCGCGTCCTGAAAGGATGCAGCACCGCCAAAAGAGCGAGGGCGTCCAAACTTGGCACCTGTACAGCTTTTCCGTCTTTCGAGCTGCCAGGAATGGGTGCGTTACAGAAAGGACACGTACTTGCCATGTTCAGTCCTTTTTCACCTGGGGTCCTCCTGAGCTCCGTTTCGGTCCAATCTGTTGCAATGTAGGTGGAAGCGACCCGACAGGCTTCAAGGCTTTCCACATGTGCCGTACTCATTGGTATTTTCCATGACTAGGTTACAGGCCTACTTCTGAGGAGTTGGTAACATTCGAACCAGCTTCACCGAAATCAATCGATTCATTGGCTGCAGATGGCATATGGCTGTAGCTCCTCAAAGCAGCCCATGCTTTGCCAGGCCATATTTGATGAGACAGCCTTGGAGCGGTCTCGAGAAGCATCATTGCGATATCACATATTTCGCTGGAGTCTTGGGATGCACCACGCCAGTGGTTGTCATTGTTCCCTCCCTGTCCCCGTCTTTCTGTTTGTCTTTGTCAGTCTTTTTCTTTATCTGACTCTATCTTCCTCTCTTTCTCTCCGTCTCTCTGTTTTTCTCTGTGTCTTCTCTTCATCTTTCTCTCTGTCTCCCTGTCTTTCTATGTGTATTACTTTTTCTCTCATGTCTCTGTCTTTGTTTTTTCTCGCTCGCATTCTCTGCCTCTGTCGTCTTTGCCCTTCTTCTTCTCCACTCTGGCGTCTCTCAGTGTGTATTTTTGTATTTTGATTCTGTCTCTCCGTCTCTTTGTCTCTCCATTTTGCTCTCTGCCGTTTTCTCCGCCTTTCTCTCTGTCTTTCTCTCTGGCTCCCTGTTTTTTCTTTGCTCGCTCTCCCTCTCTCCCTCTCTCCCTCTCTCCCTCTCTCCCTCTCTCCCTCTCTCCCTCTCTCCCTCTCTCCCTCTCTCCCTCTCTCCCTCTCTCCCTCTCTTTTTTCTTGCCTCTGAGTCTTTCTGTCTCTCTCTCTCTCTCTGTCTCTCTCTCTCTCTCTCTCTCTCTCTCTGTCTCTCTCTCTCTCTCTCTCTCTCTGTCTCTCTCTCTCTCTCTCTCTCTGTCTCTCTCTCTCTCTCTCTCTCTGTCTCTCTCTCTCTGTCTCTCTGTCTCTGTCTCTCTCTGTCTCTCTGTCTCTCTCTCTCTCTCTCTCTGTCTCTCTCTCTCTCTCTCTCTCTCTCTCGCTGTGTCTCTGTTTCTCTCTCTCTGTCGCTCTGTCTCTCTCTCTGTCTCTCTGTCTCTGTCTCTCTCTGTCTCTCTGTCTCTCTCTCTCTCTCTCTCTCTCGCTCTCGCTCTCTCTCGCGTTCTCTTTCTCTCTCTCTCTCTCTCTCTCTCTATCTGTCCTTGTCTCTCTCTATCTGTCTGTGTCTCTCTCTCTCTCTGTCTCTGTCTCTCTCCTCCTCTCTCTCTCTCTCTCTCTCTCGCTCTCTTTCTCTTTCGCTCTCGCTCTCTCTGTCTGTCTCTGTCTCTCTCTGCCCCTCTCTCTGTCTCTCTTGTTTTTTTCTTCTTCTTTTTTTCTCAGTTTCAATGCCTGCGCGCTGTGCCTTTGAACGAGGCACTGAGCGGCCGCTCAGCCAGGCTGGCAGTTGATGTGGTTCGTCTTCTCCCTGGCCGTTTTCCAGGTAGAGAAGCGGCGAGGGCAAAAAGCCCTTCGTCCCTTTGGGTTTTTGCCGAGGCGCCGTGTTGGCGCAGCACCGATCATGAGCGGATGTGCTGCAGGCTGCGGCCAGCTGATTTGCTGCAGCTGGTTCTGCCCTTTGGCCGCTTGCAATATGCCGTCCATTTTGCAGTGCAAGGTTGAGGGCCCCGCGCAAGCGCACTCTAGCAACCCCTTGCTTTGGGGAGAGCTGGAGAAGCTCTTTTTGGTGCTGCTGGCTTGTTTTCTGGGCAGAGGAGCCTGTCCCACCCCTGTTAGCCAGGTGCATGGCAAAGTGCTGTCGATCGGCGAACTGGCACGAGTTTTGTATGCCTTCGCCATGAGGCATCGCCAGTGCTAGCCTCAAGCATGTGTTATTGAAACTTGCACGGGTAGGTCATAAGAAGGAGAACAAGCGAGTGTTGCAAGAGAGAGAGAGAGAGAGAGAGAGGGAGAGAGAAAGAGTGTGGGTGACTCAGTCAGTCCGTCAGAGTCAGTGGGTGGGTGCGTAAATGGGTGGTGGGTGGGTGAGTGAGCGAGCGAGCGAGGGAGTGAATGAGGCATACGGCACCTCTTCCCCTGCGCTTGCTTCGCTTGGTGCCCCATTTGCATGATGCAGCTTTGCCCTGTGCTCCTCCCAAGCTTGTTTGGAGGCCTCACGGCGCATTCAAGAAGAGGCGGCAGTCACACGGTTGTTGCTTCCTCTCGCGCAGTTGAGGGTTGGGGGAAGTCGATTTTTGGGGCTCCCTGCAAGGTCTTCTTGTGCTCCACTACCGAGCTCGCAGATGCCTTGGAGGCATTCGGCACCTTTTCGGTACGTGAGCTGAAGCTCCTGGAGAAGGTCTCCAACGCTCTTCCCGCCATTTGCGAGGACTCGGGACCCATGAGTGGCGTGGGGTTTCGCGCCTGCGTCATCAGCCTATCTTGAGACTGCATGGCTGTTGGCAGGAGGGCCAGCCGATGCACGCTGCTTAAGCCTGGCTTTGCATTGGCATTCTTTGCAATGCTTTGATGCCCTGGAGCTGTTTGGTCAGGCTTGGCCAAAGCGCAGCCAGGCTTGGCTCGGGGCTGGCGCAGTTGAGGCGGGCTTCGGCGTTCCGTTCCGGGTCCGGATGTGGGTTGATTTCGCGTGAGGTGGCCGGACCCCACGGCTCTGCAGCTGTTGACGGACTTCGCGGTCAACGCCTTGAAGCCGAAGGCGCGGGGTCTGGGAATGGCGGTTCAGGAACCGCGGGGCGTGCGCGCGAACGGCTAACATCAAAAAGCAGTCGATCGATTCCATAGATTGAGGAGAAATAGCAGTCAGGCTCCTAGAACGGGACCCAGCAAAAGTTCCAGCATCCTGTCAACTGTCACAGGTGCGTCTAACTTAAGTCCATGTAATGCCCGCAATGCCCAGGAGAGGGAGGTGGCGCCAAGGCGCGTTGAACCGCCGTCGCGGCTGTTTGGCTCTTCGGCTGGGCTGTTGGGAGATTCTGGCAGGAAGCAGAGAAATCTCTTCCAGATGTTGCCCCCTGAGAGCCTAAAGACCATGTGACAAGCTCGGAAGCTCCGCAAACTAAGACCTCGCTTTGAGCCGGAGGAGCATGATCCGCAGTTGACGAAGGCAATCTTGCAGCTGATGCTCAATCTATTTTTTTAATCTTGGCAGGTCCACATTGTCCGGATTTGTGAGTCATTTGCTGCGTTGGAGGCGATCTGTGAACTGCTTGGGTTTGCGTGTGTGTGTGTGTGTGCAGTGGGTTGGCCAACTTTATTGTGGAAAGGGCCGTCTGCTTCATAATCCCTTCTTGGATGAACAGATTTGCAAAAGAGAATGGACCCAGCTCTTTCGTTTAGGCTTGGGCCAAAAAGCATGGCTAGTTCAAGCGCATCGGAATTAATGAAGCTCTGCCAATTGAAACAACACACTGCGCCCTTGCGTTTCTGGAGGTTCGCTCAGAGCCATTGATTCGCGCTGTTCTCGTGGATTTCTGCAGAGGTAGGCTTCAAGAGCCTTGTCAGAGCACGGCCAGACGCGTCAGGCAAGGTGAAATCTGGAGAGAAGCCGTGGCATGGCGCTCGGCTTGCCCGTAGCATGCCTGTCATGTGGTCCAAGCTGAGGGACCGTGAGTTGCTGGGGCGCCTCGGCTCGAGCCTGGGCAGGCTGGGGTGTGACTGCACAGCTTGGCTTTGATCGTTGGGTGCCAGGCTAGGCGTGACACATGCGGAGATCACCTCCCGCTGGCTGCGAGTGGGCATGGCTCTGTTGGGCAGTCAAGATGACGCAAATTGGCACGGTCCCAAAGGGGGGCGCCCTGTCTTTTTAAGCAACTCCAACATGACAAAGCTGCAATGCTTTCCAAGTTGCAGCCAGGCAGTCCGAGCAGAGGATCGGCAAGATTGTCAGCCAAAGGCACCTGGTTGGCTATTGGAGGCAGAGCTCGGCTCGGGATGCTTGAAGTTGTGCAACCTGCATGGCACAGGTTGCAACGACTGCCAATCTCCTTGGCGCCTTTCACAGGGACCGCGCTTGTGCAGCCAACAAGCCAACCTGCAATGCGGCCATGAATTCCCAAGCGGAATGCTGGGAACGCGAGGAGTTCCAGCTTCGCGTTGGGCGCCGACTCCGGGTTTCTTTGCGCTTAGGCCAGCTGCTGAGACAACTAGACTTTGACGCGCCTGTCTCCAGGTCCGCCTGACACTTTGCCGATGCCGTCACTTTTAGGCATGGCGGGCGCGAATATCCCATTTCTGTTTGATCTTGCCCAGTTCCGGCGGCGGGCGACGTCGCGCCTTCCAACCAGCTCGTGACGGGCTTGCCGTCCGTGTCTTCTGTCCGCCTGCCTGTTTGGGCTTTTTCGTTCTGCCTTCTTGTGGGCAGCAGAGCAATGCATGTCAGACTGCCTAAGGCCGTGAGACAACCTCCAGCAGAGCACTTGAAAGTTGCTTTGAGGTGTCTGGAAGTGCGGGCCACAGCGCCAAGAGTGACACTCGCTTGGAGCGGTGCACACCGAAACATCCGAAAATGACGCAGCCGAGGTTCTCTCTTGCATGGACGATGCTGACTGCCTACCAGTGTGTGCAGCTCAGTCTTTCTCGGACACCTCAAAACCCGCATTGCTGCCGGTTGGCAGGTTTCAGGCAGCCCTGCGGCATGTGGAAGGGCTGGCTGCAGGCTGGCAGGTGAGTCACAGTCAATGCTCCCAGCCAGAAATAGGTGAGGCCGCCCTCATGATTCTTTTCACAAGTTTTGGGTAGCACCCTTTAGCACCAGGTTGTGACAGTGACTCAGGTACTCAATGAGGGTTTTGGTATTGCATTGTCAAGGCACTTATGCTGTTGGAGAGGTGATGAATCGCCAGTGCTCCTTCCATTGCTTTCCATGAGTTTCAGACTGCCGAAGGAGCGGGGCCTTGTGTCAACGCAGAGCAAACGCTTGAGAATGGAGCCTGCCGCAGGATGACCAGCTATATGTGGCAAACAAAGTCTTTTCCAAGCTGGACATTCAACCTGCGAAGCCTGGATCTTAGAATCTACCCGGTTCTGTGCCGACAAGATTGCTCTGGGCACTGCTTCCCCGCAGTTTCCTTCTTGAAAGAAGCGGCCCCGCGTTTTCCCCGGCAGTGAGGAGCTTCAGCAATGCGGAGCTCTTGGAAGCTCATCGCTGCAGCGCGCGGCTGCGCTTTGAGGCGCTCGATTCGATTCGACTCGACGCGCGTCGTTTTTGGCTCTTTCAGGGGGCTGAAGAGCCACAAGCGGGAGGCAGGGCTTGAACCGCATCGCAAACATGAAGTGAGATGGCCAGGTATGGGGCACTTCGAGCAAAGATGTCCGTCTTTGGTCTTGGCCTAAGAATCGTGCTTAGTTGTTCAATCCTTGTATTGGGCACCAACACTTTGCCTGTCAGGCTAAAGTTTTGTGGCAGAGGCTGCGAGGGATCTTGGTGGTTTCAGGCAAGTCTCGCGTCATCCCGATCAATGGCAGAATGACATAGAAGTGCATGTGCCGTTTCAGCCATGTGGCCATGGGTCAAAATCCCGTACCCCCAGTGAACATCCCAATCCCCAGTAAAATCGACTAAATGGGTGGTGCACCTACCCCAAAATGGTACCATTGGTTTTGACCCACAGCCATGTCAGCAGATCTCGCAGGCGAGCAGCTAGAGGATGCAAAGCTTCGCCAGCTAGCAAGCTTCGCCAGCGTGGCGGAGGCATGTGTGAACCCGTTGGGCCATGAATGCCATCGAGCTCTGCAGGTGCTGCGCTCGTCGGAACGGGTGGCAGTCACAGGGGAGGAGGCCATTGGGTGCCCCAAGAAGTTGATTGTACTCTCTCACTTGATGAGTGCACTGCGAGGCGAACTTGGCTGTATCTTGCAGCCGCACCTTGCGGGTGACATGCTCAGCGTCTTGCATCCGATTCCATTTCATTCAATGCAATTTGGTCCGAGCCTGAGCCAAGGTCAAGCTGGCATCTGAGCCCACACTCAGCTTAGGCGGGAGAGGTTTTCTTGTCTTGACAGTGTTTCGCACTGACTTCAGGCACAGCCGTTTCGATGGCAGAATGGTTCGCCTCCACTCCGGCCTGGCTGGCATCGAGTCAGCGCCTTCTCGTGAGTGAGTCCCGGTGCAAGGTGCCAGCGGGCTCGGAGGTTCTGTGCCGGCAGCTGTCCGCAAAGGCCCACTTTGTGTCGGAGCCACCGGTCGTTCAGCTGAAAGTCATGGCCAGGTCAAGTTGATGGAGGCCTCGAGTCTCAGGCAGCTGCGAAAGGGTTGGAGACTGCAATCCGTGCTGAGATGCGTGCAGTCCACATTTGTTCTGCGGCTGGTGGGCATGGCAAGGCGCACCATTGCAGCCTCCCTCACTGCGCACAGCTTAGATTTGCTTCTGCTGCAGGCCTCTTGTATTTACATGTAGGTCAAATGTCTTTAATATTGCGTCCAGATTTGGTGGCCAGCAAGCAATGGCCCTTTTCTGCGGAGCTGTGAGCCATTTTCCATGCTTGAGACTCCCTAGGCTTCTTTCGGGACATCGCCAGCTTCTTGGCTTCGGGTGCTGCACGCCCTTGGCTCAACGAACAGCCGCGAGCTGCTTGCGCCGGTCTGCTCCCCAGGTGTCGTCCAAAGATCTTCGAAGGAGCAACCAATGGCGGCATGGCATGACGCGTGCAGATGCCCACATGTTTCCACTTGAGCCATGCGCGGCCAGGAAAATCTATTTGCAGCCAGCAGATTGGGTGCTGCGTCCTTGGGATATTCACATACTCATTGTTTCTGAATGTGCAAACATGCTGAGGATGCGCCTAGCGGTTCTTTTTCTACAGGCAGGTTTTTTCAACATGCGCTTCTGTCATTGGCATCGGCAGCATTCCGTGTAGGCTCTTGCAAGAGGACAAAGATTCGCTTCTTGCAGGCAGAGCGAAGGGCTGTATGTGGAATAGAGCAATACATCAAAAAAGGAAGTTTAGAAGGAAGTAATTGAGCTAGCTGTCTCCAAGATGCATGCACCTGCGCGTACTCTTCGTGTCAAAAGCAGGATAATTAACATGTTTAGCCATGTTCAAGGATTCACTATGAGAAACTATGTATGCCTTAGGAAGCTTGTTGGCCTTCACAGTACTTTTGGGTCATTTCCCCAGTTTTTTTTCTAGGAACATTTTGTGTCCATGCAGAACTGCACAACCAAATGGGTATGGGTCAAAATTAAAGCAGCAGGGGACCGCAGGTTTTAGGTCCTTGGTTCCATTTACTAGGGTTCCAAAATGGATACCCATTTTTGACCCACAGCCAAATGGTTCAAAGCTTAGATCGTTTTGGATTGAAATACTTCAGGACTCTGGCAGTCAACATGTTGGAAGTCAAAGAAGGCGGCTGCCAAGCGACAAGAGATTTCACGACAGGAAGTTTTGTCCAGAAATGAAGCTTGAAAAACCCGAGCAAGCTGGTTCTGGAGCTTCTAGGCCTTGCTTTCTTTTCTCTTCCCCAGCCGTTTCAGTTCTTCCAGTCTATTCAGTTTCTCCACTTATTCAGTTTTTCCGGCTCTGGACAGAGACAGGAATGTGGGCCCGGTCTCCTTGACACCTGCAAGAACTGGGGACAGTTGGAGCCACAGTGAATGCCCTAAGCGAGCTACTTTTTCATTTTGGTTTGCAAGTGCCTAAATAGCTGTGGGTCAAAACCAATGGGACCATTTTGGGGGGTAGGTGCACCCCCCCATTTTAGTCTATCTTAGTGGGGCTTGGGATGTTCACTGGGGGTACGGGCTTTTGACCCATGGCCAAAATTTGTGTACGGTACACGACTCCATGCTCCGTCAGCCTTGGCTTGACACATGTTGCATTTATTCGCCAGGCCAAAGTTGCCGGAGCTGAGAAGGACCCAGCGCATCAAGCACGGCCAGCGTGTCCAGCGCATGCATAGCGTGCAGCGCGTCAAGCATATCGCTCGAGTCGGTGCCTGGGCCGGAAATTTGATCAGCGGTCACCAGTCCTGCTGATCCCTCCCACTTTTTTTTCTTCTTGGTGTCCCAGGTGCCGCGGCAATGGTTCGGAGGCTTCTGAAACCAGGGATGCTGTCTCAGGCTGGGCAGAGATTTGGCCTGCTCAAGTTGCTTTGCACCGCATTGGATCATCCCAGGTGTCAATTCTTGCACTGGAGGCTATGGCTTGTGGATCTTGATTTTGTCACGTCGGTTTTTTTTTGCCAGGAAAGCCTGGGCATCACCCAGAGCATGAGAAGGCGGCCCAGACACGAGGCCTGAGACTCCTGCAACCCGCAACTCTCGGGCGCCCAGTCAGGTCTCCAAATTGGCGCCCTTCATCCTGCTGGACGGCCACCCCTCGGTGCGAGAACATCCAAAGGCTCATTCTCGATTCGCGGGAGCTTTGTGGAAGATGATCTTCCTCAGGTAGATGAGCTGCGCATTGCCTCGCCTGCTGGGTGCTTTCTGGGGCGATGCATTTGCGCCAAGCTCAGAGGTTTAAGGCCTTTTTAGCGACAATCATGCCAGCAACAGCACGCGCCATTGCATGTCATAGGGATGTTGCACGCTTTGCATGTCCGCTGCGTTGGCTGTTGCAGCTGTGTTTGGTAGGGCTAGACATGCTTGCGCAACATGGTTTGTCCAAGAGCAGGCGTCGCCATTTGTTCCTTCCCTGCCTCATAGCTCTTGTGGTTTGCGCGAAGTATGACTTCAGCTTTGCAGCTGGCCTTGCCGGTGGAGCAACAAGGCGCAGCCCCTCGACTCTTGCTGTTCGTCAAGCATCGGAGGCGATCAATGTGCTGCCGCCTGCCACTCTGCCCCCGGAGCCAAGTGTTGGCAAAGTTGAGTACAAGCTCAGGCTAAGTGCCGAAGAAGGTACAAAGCGCTTTGAGGAGCTAGTGACGCAGCTGAACTGGCGAATGCGGGAGTGTTCCTCCGAGGAGGAATGCGCCGAATTCGAAGATCTCTCACAGTATAGAGATGCGGTCTACCGGCTTGGTGTTGCTGATGACGGTCAAGTGGTGGGTCTCAGCGATGCAGAGCTGGCAGAATCATTGTCGGTGCTGACAGCCATGGCAGGCCGCATTCCGGCCACGGTGACAGTGATCAGCCAGAAGCGAGGCATTTCGCCTGGCAACAAGACTGCCATCACTGCACTGGTTCGTGCCTGCCGTTCAGCCTTTGGGGGAGATGAGGTGAGAATATGCACAGTTGGCAATGTGGACTCTGGCAAGTCGACCCTGCTCGGCTTGCTCACGCAAGGGATGCAAGATGATGGACGGGGCCGAGCCCGCGCGTCTGTCTTTCGGCACCGCCATGAGCTTGAATCAGGCCGAACCTCCTGCATTGCGACCTTGACTCTGGGTTTTGATGAGATTGGTCAGGTTGTAAACTACCAGGAGGACGAACTGGGCCTTTTTCGAAGTCACGAAGCTCATCATAATGCTGGCCGAATGGAGGCACAAGCCAGGATAGCCGAGAGGGCATCAAAGCTGATCTCATTTTTCGACTTGTGTGGCCATGAGCGGTATTTCAAGACTACTTTGCAGGGGATGGTAGGCTTGAACCCAGACTATTTGCTTTGTACCGTTGACGCCAATCGGGGCGAAATGCGTGGAATGGTGCATGAGCATCTCATCGTCGCCAACGCCCTCGCTGTCCCTACCATGATTTGCCTGACCAAGTGCGACGTTGCTTCAGCGGAGAACCTTGGGTCCGCCACACGCGACGTGAAGCGATTTGTGAAGCAGCTGGGATCGCCCACATTTGTCGTCAAGGACAGAAACGACGTGATTTTGGCCGCTGAGCGCATCCTCCAGGGTTACACTCCGATTTTCCACTGCTCCGCAGTGACTGGGGCGATGATCCCCGAGCTGAAGCTTCTGCTGAACGTGCTGTCGCGGCGGGGCTTCAGTCGACCGCACACCGACCCCGAGTTGCAGATCCAGATCGACGAGGTTTTTCCCCAGGTCCCCGGCGTCGGCTTGGTCGTGGCGGGACGCGTTTTGCACGGGACCGCCCAGCCGGGGCAGGCCATCCGCATGGGCCCGGTGGTTGACTCTTCGGGGGATCTTGTGAAGGATGGCTTTGTCAACCTCCGACTGTCCTCCATCCGAGTGCAGGGTCATTCAGTGGAGCAGCTGCGATCTGGCTCAAGCGGAACCTTTGCACTCAAGGCATCTGGAAAGGCGAAGGACGCCTTGACTCCAAGAGTGCTGAGGAGGTCCAAGTTTCTGGTGGGTGCCAAATCTGTGTTGACTCCGTTCAGGTGGCTCAAAGCCAGCGTCACCGTTCTGCAGCATCCGAGTTCAATAAGGGCTCGCTACGAGCCCGTGTTGCATATTGGCATGGTTCGTCAAACTGCAAGAGTCGTCGAGATGAATGCCGATGGCAAGCCGGTTTCCCTCCTGAGGGCTGGTGATTCGGCGGAGGTGCTTTTTCGCTGGGCTCATTGGCCCGAGATCGTTGAGCCTGGCTGCGCCCTGGTGTTTCGTGAGAACTCGGTCAAAGGCATCGGGACGGTCACCTGGGTGGGCGAGTTGGAGCCACAAGAACCGCCCAGAGGAAACAGGCTGAGAACCTCCAAGAAGAGCAAGCCCGCAGCTGAGGCCAAGGACAAGAAAGCCAGAAAAGGCATCGCTCGGGAAAGAGGACGAAAGTCGAAGCGCTCGAAGCGCTAAAGATCTGCAGGATCAACTGCCCGATCGTCATGCCATCAGGTGCGCAGTCAGAGTAATCAGTGTCAGCTTTCTACATTTGTTTGGTTGAGGGTGGACCTTGATTACGTCCGCACTCGATATAGCAAGTGGATTTTGAAAGCACGCCCTGCAATCGTTCGCTGCTTTGCAGCAAATCATTGGAGACCCTCCGTGTGCTGGACTCCCTGTACAAAGTACTCTTACTACTGGTAGCAACTCAACAGCTAGGGGTGCCTGTAGTGTCTTCAGCTATTCTGCGGATAGCTGCAGACTGCCGCTCTACTTGTGTGACTGCAAACGCTTGTAAGATAATGTTTATGTCAGAGAGAGATGTGAAACACGGTTAAGTTAGACATGGCTTTGGAGCTGTTTGCATTGCAGAGTAGCGCGTCATAATTCGATTAAGCTTGGAGCTTTGGCCCAGACTCCAAAATCCATCCGTCCGGATGATGCGAGCAAGCCTATGGACTGCTCGCAATCTTCGGCTGTAGATGTTTCGCGGACATGCTTTCTTCTGGCGTGATTTTTTGTTCCAGCTGGTTTGGGATAGGTTTGTGTTTGGCACAGACACGGTCAACTATTAGAGGCAACTTGCAGCAAATTGGATGTAACATCAGAGTTGTATGATAACCCTTTATTGGGCAAGCCCAGGTGTCCCAAAATAGTGCAATACCATAAGGCAAAAAGATAATGTTTCCTACAACTGAAGATGCAAACTTGTAGCTGCAGATTTGTATTTTGTTTACCGATGCCCTCGAGTTGGACAAGTGACCACCCCTTGCCCTGGGTCAGCCATAGCTGGTCTCTCGACAGAAAGCAAAGGCCTTTCATTTCCAGGCGCCAACTCAGACGGGAGCCTAACAGCGATAGCCTGCAAAACATCAGTTGTCAGAACCGCCTGAACCGCATTTGCAGTGATGGGCCCTCCCAAATGCATACAGCGCCGTTTGTTTAGCCACAGTATATCTTTTGTCTGAGTGACATCGTAGGTTTGCCTTCTTGAAGTGCGTGCCCAGCTTCGGATAAGGCAGCTACCAGCAGACGTGCAGGCAGTTCACACAGTCCTTGCAGCAGCAGGCCGTGGGTCGAGAACGAGACAGCAAACATTGGCGGGCGCTTGTGTCCAGGTGGCCTTCAGATCCTTTCCGAAGCTTGCAGATCGAAAAATGCCGGCGCACCAGCGGAAATGACAGTCATGACCTACTGGCCGAGTTTCAGGGAGCCACGGTAACAAGTGCTTTTTTGTTTTTTCTTCTTTTTTAAACGCACTATACTAGTTGAGCCTCAGTGACTGCTTTATTCACGGCGGCCCTGTCGAAAATTCTCCAAGATGTGCATGGGAATATTTGTGGATGCGTGTCTCTGCAGCACCGTTCGAGCGTTATGTACAGCCAATGCCATGGGCAACAACGCCTGCTGCGAGGCACGTGGGACATGTGCAAGCGCGTGCGAGGGTGTTCACTGAACTTGAAGCGCCCTGGGCAAAATGGAAATTGCAGCTCCCCACTCTCAACCGGCCTCGGAATGCCTGTGAGGCGACTCCAGACAATGAGGAGCATGTGCCGTACAATGAGGATCACGCGCCGCAGAGGGGGCGGTCGACGCCCATGATGCAAAAGAACTACGTGGAGAAGTTCTCAGTTCCTTCTCCCGACCCATGGAGTTTTGGCCTGAGCCAGTGTAGAGCATTCGGCAGCGTTTGTGGCGCGAGCAAAAAGTTCGAGGCCGATCCCTGCAAGCCAAACAGATGCGTCAAATACCCAAGGCAGAGCATGAATGGCCGCGGGGGTGCGCCGTACTCGTCGGCCAGGTGAACCGTTCCTGCTTCATGTGCTACACTTGTGCAGCTCCGGACCAGGCTTGGGAGTGTTCTCCGTTCGCCGTTGGCCATGCCGTGTCTTGCCAAGGTGCGCAAGGCCGAACAACAGGCGCCTAGCGTTCGACTGAGTGAGCGTGCCAGTGGCTGACCGGCAGGGCCCAGCTTCGGTTGCTTCGCTTGATTGGAGGGCGCGCACGTGAGGCCCGCTCAGCAAACTTGTTCTATGCACCTATGAGAACTCATGCTGGTGCAACTCCGTCCATTGTGGCAACACAGCACACACTGGCAGCAGAACACCTTGAAGTCTGATTTTCAGCATCGTTTACTCGGCCTTTGTTCTGAACACTGATTGAAGCTTGTTGAATGCCCCAGTGCTGCAAAGGGCACAGCTTCAGAGCCCATGAATATTTTGAAGCACAGATTCAGTGACTCAGGTGATTTGAAGCTTAGCACTGTCTCACCTGTGCACACTGATGGTTTGTCCGTTGACCCATCCAAAGGCTGGGTCTTCTGACAGACCCGGCGTTGCCTGTGAGAGCACGAGACAGAGAAAGATGGCAGAACTTCACCAGAGGAGCAGTATTTCTATTGAGTTTCTTTCAACTTACTATTTGTTGGTCTGATGGAGGCGTATTTATTTGATGGAAATATTCTTGTACTAACGATTCTCATTTCCCGCATGACTTGAATCATCAGGTTTGATAGAAGGACAACTATGTTGTACTTTGTTTGCAGTTTGCGCGTTCGTATTTTGAAGGCTTGAGACTTGACGTTCCGTCAATTTTGCATCTCACCGCATCAAATGAGCCCTCTGCATTCACATTATCTCAGATATTTCTTTCAAAAACACATGCAGGATTCAGCGCTTAGACTTGGTAGTCTGCGCGAGCCACAATTCAAGTCCCAACCATAAATAGAGGCGGCCGCGTTACCTTGCATGGTTTTGAGTAGACTTGTTTGATCCCGGGTTTTGCTTTTGCCCGCTGTGAATTGCCAGGGATGTGTTGCCACATCAGTGCGCACCTGCTCAACAGCCAAGGCTTCTATTAGCGAATATCATTCATGTTGCAGCACAAAGTTGAGCTTTCACGTGTCGTGCCCATCTATCAAATCTGAGACTTCAGCATTCGGCTAATTGGCAGTTGACACTTGAATTGCACGGGGAGAAAGCTCAAGGCTCCCACAACCACTAGGGAGAAGCCCAATTTTCCACATCCACTGAGAAGCAAAGAGCATTGTTTGTGGTTATGGGACTCTGGTTGCCATGCCGAGTCTGAAGGACGGGCATGTGGCCATTGCCATGTGCACCACGGATCCCAACTGGTTTCAGGATATTGAAGTTTGCCGGGATGAGCCGCACGCTGGGCACTTGACGCCGACTCATGAGACCGTACCAACCTGAGGCTCAATGCCTGTAGAACTGGAAGCCCAAAGGACTGCAGAGTTGTGCATCCGCATATATATATATATATATATGGGGGAGATAGCATATATATATATATACATATATCTATATTTGTGCGCTTCAGTTCCAGGAAAAGTCGGCCATACTGAAGACTTTCCAGAAGTTGTCCACGCTGCACGTGGACACTGAAGCTCTTCGACTGACCGGCATCGGGAAGGCAACACACATCGCCAGTGGTTTTGACGGAACCGGTTGCGCTTTGCGCAACACGGGCAAGCCGGCAGGAAGCCAACGACAAGTTCTTCCGCAACCACGAAGATGCCCAGGCGAAACTCAAAATCACTCACTCACCAGCGTGGGTGAGTTGGCTTGAATTGGCTTGAGGTGAGAGAAGCCTGTACAAAGCTGATACTGGCTTGGAAGGTGCCCAAGTCCAAAGCCCAGACCTGGGCTGCATGGAACGACTGAGGCAGTTGCGCTTGGCAACACGCCCGGTACCTGGGTTTTTCAAAGGCTGGCAGACCTGCCGTGTTCGCTGGAGGTCGGGGCCGGCGGCGCCTGCTCCTCGAGTCCAGAGTTGAGCAAAAAAGTGCGCGGAGGAATCCGGGTCTGCGAACTCAGGTCTGCGGATGCATCTGCGAATGCAAAGGCGCAGGACTCAAAGGATGCGAAGTCAAAGGACTCAAAGGATGCAAAGGCGAAGGACTCAAAGGATGCGAAGGAGGGGAAGCTCTGGGCTGTGTTGCTGACAGTTTGCTTCTCCGCCAGGAGAAGCGTAAAGCGGGAGCGGTCAAGGAGAAAGCGGAGGGCAAGGCGGAGGCAGTGGATGAGATCGATGGTTGGCTTCTGGCAGCAGGCCAAGCGCAGCAAGCACGAGGGCGGGCTCAACGAGGATCACACCGAAAGCGTTGATGTTTTGGTGCCAAGGCCAAATTTGCGCAGCGCGCAAAACCCCCATGGGACATACTGGTGGTTCCCTTAGGAACCTTTGCTTTGGTTTCCTTAAGCCCTTGAGAGGTTGACCAAACCCACGGACCCAAGTGAGGCTTTTTTTTTGACGGCAGATTTGTGCAGGACCTGATTGGGCAATTCCGAGAGCTGGCATCCTATGAGTTTAAGCTTCTTGGTTTGCGTTTGACTTGACGGCAAAGGAAACAACGAATGGCGAAGCGCGTGCAAGAACCAGTTGGCCCCAGGAATGGCAGCAAGTTTGCGGGCATTGCGTTCAACAAGGCGGGTCAGGGCGACGTGCCGCTTCCCATTTTTGTTGTGCCTAGGTTGTTGCGGTGCTCCAGGGACTGGAGGAGAAGGTCTGGCTGCCACCAGTTGCCCCCCTTGTTCCGCGTGGCGAAACACGGCGCAAGGTGTCGTCTGGAAGTGCCATCGCCCATTTGCCAGGGATTGGCAAGGCACGTCCGCGTGTTCCATGCAAACTCAGCCCCAAACCGAGACTAAACCAAGCACAAGGTCGAGCAAACAGCGTCGCTCCCAAACGAGGGATATCATGTTTTTTTTTTGGAGTGGCCCAGGATTATTTGCTGTCCCGTTGCCGTGTTGTACGCTTAGTGACACAAATCCTGAATCAGCATTGACAGTATTGTACTTACACAGCACATGTTTTCTGAACAGTAAGACAAAGTGAGAACTCCCCCCACAAAGCATCGAGACCCATTGGTTTCTCATGCGAGATCACTTCCGTTTGTAGCGCAGTCGTAGTTCGGCCTGCTAGGACCCGGTTGTAGATTGATCTTGATGCTTGGGAGCACTGGCGCAGGAGACCGTGAAGAAGATCGATCAATACCTCGAGAAAGGCGACTTGGATGCAACAGGTACTTTAGGAGATCGGGGGCAAATGTTTGCCACTTGCAGCATTCGGTTCGATTCGTCCAGGTTTCGCATTTTGGGATGATGTGCGATGCCGCAGTATTGACCACAGGTTTGGGCCGATTCCACAGCTGACATGGAGTTTAGCAATTTGTATTTCGTGTACAAACACCCACATGCTTCAAAGGAGGCCTAACACCAAGCTCCACATGCTGTATGGATTGCTTCGATGGCAGTAGCAACAAAAGTTCAATAATTGATGTCGCGCAGCTGAGGCATAATTGACAAGCTTGAGAAGATTCGAAATGGTGAAGCGACATAGTCAATTTTCCAATGGTTTGCTAGATTGCAAGCTTCTTTTCAATTGTGCATACTCCCTACAGATTGCCACTCCTTCAAATCTTGGAGGAGATGTGCTTGCCAGCAGCCCCCAATGCTGGCATGCTAATGAACCCGTGGATCGCCACAAAACCGCAGATTGCGCTCGATCGCGCGGCTGTGGTTTCTGATCGCGCAGCATGTCTCTTCTTGCAGTCTCATTGGCCCAGGCCGACCAAGTTCTTAAAGCAAGTCGACTCCAAAAAACATAGGCAAGTTGATTAGTACCATATAGCAGCAACAGCACTCTTGCCGACATTTGGGGCAGAAGCAGCTTTCAAATGCGCATGAACCTCGTAGCTCTTCAGATAGTCGACAAGGCTTAAATGCGCTCTGGCCATAGGCAGGTGCAGAGACACAGCAATACTCGGTGGTGTCAGCACTGCCGCAGGTGGCCAGCATGTCAGCGCCTCAGCTGGCGATTGCCAGAACATGGTTCGACTGAGAGCCCAGGCGTGGTGGAGAGATAAGGCTTAGGACTCGAGTCGCGCCTTGGTGCAAAAGGGTTGTGTGTCACACAATGCAAACACAAGAAGCACTGAGGATCAAGCCTGGCAGGTGCAGGGCATAAAAGACATGGAAAGCTTATTCTGTCTCCTGTGTTTTGTGTGTTGCCAAAAAAAAGCTGACCAGGCTGGCCAAAGTTATGGACAAGACTTTCGCACAGCCCGCACCACCAGTATTTTGAAACTTCTAAAGGAGAAGGCGGGCTGCTGAGGCATTTCTCTTATAGCATGGCATTGACGCAGGCACGCAGCCTGAGACGGCTCGAGCTGTGGCAGCGAATTGATGAACTGTCCCGGCCTGAATGCTGCCATGTCATCTCTAGCTCGAGATTTT